GGGTAAATGTGACGGTTCTTGGCGCAGTGAGACCTTGGACTTTTTGGGTAACTCGGTGTAAATGTACATCTTGGACACGATCTCCTCCCAGGCGGGACCTTTCGCTGGGGAGATTTTGAGGTAGGGCTGCAAAGATGATCGGGTGATGAGGGGCTGGAGCATCTCTGCTGAGGGGAGGCTGAGAGAGCTGGGGCTGTTCAGCCTGGAGAAGAGCAGAGTGAGAGGGGGTCTCATCAATGCTGATCAATACCTGAAGGGTGGGTGTCAGGAGGATGGGGCCAGACTCTTCTCAGTGGTGCCCAGTGACAGGACAAGGGGCAACGGGCACAAACTGGAGCACAGGAAGGTCCATCTGAAGATGAGGAAGAACTTCTTTCCTGTGAGGGGGTTGGAGCCCTGGGACAGGCTGCCCAGAGAGAGTGTGGAGTCTCCTTCTCTGGAGAGATTCCAAATCCACCTGGACACCATCCTGTGCAACCTGCTGGAGATGGACCTGCTTTGGCAGGGGGGTTGGACTGGATGATCTCCTGAGGTCCCTTCTAACCCACCATTCTGGGATTTCTGTAGAGTTAAGCCATCTGTGCCAAAAGAGGTGTTTGAAATGCGTAAGGAAACGTAATTCCTTGGCAGAGCATCTCAGTCCTGAAGTTTATTGCCTTTGCTTTGTGAGATTTGTTTTAAAATTTGTTTTTTTCAGGTTTTCTACAATCAATGACTTTAAAGTCATTGGCTTTATATTCTTTTTAAAAGTACAGAAGAATGGGAAGTCACAAGCATTTTTTTTCCCCCATATTTAGGAAGCATTTAATCTGGATTAAATCCTGCTATGTAATCCCATGGGTTTTGGTTATGGGCATGATTTTTGTCATAACTTGCTTTTTAGGGTCAAGAAGACCTCCACAAGCTTAAAGTCAAAGGCAAAGATACCAACTTGAAAGGAAATGTAGAAGCTGTGGGTATTAGTGACCTTGAAACAGCAATTGAAAGGACTGAACATGGGCTGAGAGTAAGTAACATGGAGCAGATCCAGAAAACAATTCAGTTTTTGAGATCTGTCAGGAATTCACTTAGAGTACACAGGTACTTTGTCATCCTGCAGGATCCCTTTCTTGATTAGCAAATGATGGGATTTATCAGACATTGCAATCCTTTTTTGGGTCATCAGAATTAACTGATCTTGTGCCTCATACTATTACCCAAAATCAGATTTAGTCCAACAGAAGCACAACTCTTGAGTCAAGTGAAGATCTAGATTGCTAAATTAACTGACTTGAATAAATGTCATATCGCTCATACCTTTATAATAATCTAAACGTTATTTTTTCTAACAGAAACATGCTGAAAATCATTTAAATGCTATCAACAGACAAGCGTTAACTATTTCTTCTGCTGATAATAAAGAAGGACATTCAAAACAGCCCCCTAAATGGTAAGTGAAATAGCTGTTCTATTGCAGAAACAAATGCAAACAGCAAGACAGAAAATCTGTGGCATCAGAATCGTGTAAAGCAAAGGGGAGTGTTGGCCCAGATGAGGTTATTTTGGTCATTTGCTATTTTGGTTTTATTTTAAGTTAAACAATACAAAAATAAATGCAGTTCTAAGTAGCTACAACAACCTTCTGCTGACTCCTGTGATTATTTCTTTTGCTAAACACAAATTTAAGTAAAAATACAGTCTTTTGGATTTAACCTGATGGAAGCAGTGTGGGTTTAATAGAGTAAAAGACAAGTAATTTTTTAAAGCCTCATTGTTTGTTTCTTTCTAAGGAGCCTTCGTTTGGGTGCTGCTCAGAAGCAGCTGATTTCACCACGAGTACCTGTTGAGCCCGTGACTGTCCAGGCGTACAGCAAATCAGCACTACGCGTTTCCCAAAGTTCACAGGTCTGAAATAATTATAATTCTGCAAGTAACGTGTCTAAAATAAATAGAAATATATATATTGGAATAGCATAAGCACAGATATATGAATATTTGTGGTGTTTGAGACTGAAAGTGGTTCTTTTTTTGTTTGGTTCTTTTTTGTTGGGTTTTTTTGTGTGTGTGTGGTTTTTTTCTTGCATAAAAGATATGGCAAATTGGGGGAAGACAGACTTCTGTTTACATATAGGGTAATCACCTCTATGATAAATATAGTTTTTTCCCTTGAAATCTGATTTTTTCACCGTTTTTATAAATGAAATCCTTGTAAAATCATTTAAAGCCTTCTTAAAATGTTTATATCTGAAGTATTTTTGCTTTTTTTTTTTATTCCAAACTGTGAATTTTGACTGGTGCATTCAGGGTGATTTCCTCAACCATATTAAAAAAAAAAGAAGGTTATTAGTTGAATTGAAAAATGCTTGTTGTCATAATTTTGGGTTATTACTGTTTAACTTCTATCTCAACTTTGAGTGAGACAGAACCTGAAGAGGAAGCTCTCTATGTTTCTAAGATTATTACCAGACATTAGGGATTGGAGCTACTTGAAATGGTATAACCAGAATGAGCAGCCTAACACTTACCTTACTGATTCTCTTTGTAAAAGAAATCCAAATATAAAGTAGTATTAAAATATTGCTCACTCCTCAAACGATGGATGAGGTTCAGTGAGATCTCTGATTTTTTTCCAGACACTATTCCAACCCTCTCCTATATGAATACACTTATATTGTGAGGGGAAAAAAAAAGAGAGAGAGTTCAGCTACTCTGGAAACTGTATTATCAATAGTTTTTCAACTCTCCACGTGCACCAATGACCTTAATCTACCGTGGAGCACGTGCTCTGTCCTGCCTTGACTTTCTCTGTGTCTTTTCATTTCTGATCTCTTATGGCATCTGTTTAGAAATGGATATCCAGTGACACACAAGCTAGCCCTTATTTCCCATTATAAAGAAAAAGGCAAACAAACAGTGCTGTTTTGCCAGCTGTTGTACATGCATAGCATGCCAACATAAAAAGCTTTTATTATTAAATAGTTGTGAAATCCAGCTGGGAAATTATCACCTACAATTTCTTACTTCTTGTCTTTTCCTTACTTGTAGCTATAAACAGTTTTTGGGTTTTGTTTTTTTTTTTTTAAGCATAATTTGGTGTTTTTTTTCTAAAATTCCTTTCCACTCAAAGGGAATATTAGTGAACTGAAGAGTTTTCTGTTTGCAGACAGTATTTCCAGCTACATGAGCTTGAAGAAATCAATGTTTGAACATTACCTAACTCGTAGTGGTTCTGAGGTAAATTAATAATTGACACAGTAATATTTTTGTGCTTTGCAGTCCGTAGTACACCGTGCAGGAGTAGAAATGGAGCAGAAGTTTTGTGTTTTTAGGAGTTAGGATGAAACAAGACTGGAGTCAAACAAGCACAGATGCTGTTTTCACATACTCATTGCTAGAATACTTGTCATGTGGGAAATGGTTTGCCCACAGGTGTCAGAATAGGCTTAAAATTATTGTTTACTCACACATAGAGTATCTCTGAGTCATATCAGCAGTGGGAGAAGACTCTACTAATCTAACTCGTAGGGGGAACTGTGAAGCACTGTCCCTGCTTGTTTTTTATTTTCCTTCATTATGTGTTGTAATTGGGTTTTCTTCTAATAAAGCTTGAGAACCATGAAGAGATGTCTTCCTTGTGTGGTAATTATAAAGCCTCGGTCTAGCAGTGGCTGAAAAGACATTTTTATCCATAACTGGGAGGTGTACAAATTGATTTTTTTGTTTGTTTGTTTTAAAAACATGCTTAATTGAAAACACCCAAATGGATAATTGTGCATCTTTGAGGTTTTTGGGATTTTTTGTTTGTTTTTTTTCTAAAAGTTGATATTTTCTGTGACATTCTGAATACACAGTAGAAATTAAATTCTCTCATCTTTAATGAAGATGTAAATGAAAAGATGTTTGTAGGGAGCTATAGAATATGTAAATAACATCAATAGCTAGACATGAAAAATGGTTTAGTTACCAACAATACAGATTGTTTCAAAGATTAATATAATGTTGTCCATCCATAAAGGAATTGGACTCTATTAGAAACCATGCAAAACCTAGTGAATCAGGTTTATTGGCTTCCTACCTGATAAAAATGCCCTCCACTCCGACTTTGGTGTTGAAGTAAAACAAGATTTGAACCATTTAACGTGCCAACCTGTTCTGTATACTCCAGATTAATAATTGAGCACAATAATTCTCATTCTTGTTGAACATGATAATACTAATAGAACCCTATTTGCCCTGCTGTTCTCATCTTTTTCTTGTTCTACATCAAGATTTTTCAAGATAGCTTAAATTTAAGACTTTGAATGACAGAGATGTATGGATAATATAGATGGAAGAGACCCATAATAGCATCTGCTCCAGCTCCTGCAAATGTAACTTGTCACTTGCCATACATCTAAGCTGACAAAGTAACTTTTATCAAGTTTTTTTTGTTAAGCATTTTAATTCTTGTTATCTTGAGTGGAATCTGCCACTCCAGCATTGATCACTTCGCTCTGAGTCGAAGTGGTAAGTCTGCATTGTGAATCATCTCCTGTTTTAATTGAGAAGGTTTTTTTACTCATTTTTACCCCAGTTCTTGTTTAATAGCACAAGCAGTTGCCTTTCTGTACAGCGGTGTGTTATAGTAATAAAATAAATACCACCAAATCACTGATGAGGTGAAAATGGAACTTGCTGTCTCTGTGCAGCCATGTGGGTAAGAGAGTAATTGGCTTGGATAATAACTTTCATTGTTACAAACCCAAATCTAAATGAGCGTCTCATTGATACATCTGCTTGTAATTACTATCAAAAGAAGAGAATATATTGTGCAGATAGATAAATTAAACCATTTTTAGTGCTTTTACAAAGTAATACGATTGTTTAATAGTTTGAATTTACCTCTAATGATTCTTACACTTTTTATGGCTTATTTTGTTTTTAAAAAACACAGAAGTCTCATAAATTCCTTTTTTTATGTTTACATAATAGAAGTATCAGCAGAGAGTTCTTGTGTATAAATATGTTTAGTTGGATCTTACTATGTAAGGGAGCTTTTGGTATTCCTGTATCCATGTAATGGGAATTAAGCACACACACAGCCAGGCCACCGGCTCCTCAGAATTATTTTAGCTCTGTTGACTCCTCTGGTGGTACATTAGTTTCTACCATTTGAGGATTCTTCCTTATTTGGCACTGGTGGGTAAATAAACCCTTCTGGAAGCAGAGTCTAGTTAGCAATGTTACTGTAATAAAATTATTGGGAGATACTAGTACAGTTGATACAGATCCATGTGTAACCTAAAGCACATGCATTAAGATGAACCAAAATATCTTCAACTTGAGAAACTTCTACTCTAATAAAAATATATGGCATCACTTGTGGCTTTTGTAGAAAAAGTATGTGCTTTAGATGCTTCTTATAACAAGAAGAGACTTTAAAAGTCTTTTTCTGTCCATCAGGATTTAAATAATAATAATTTTTATTAGCAAAATAGTTTAATTCATTCCATGCAGATAATGCAGTACATTCAGAAACGACTGTGTTTTAATTCTTATTACTATAAGGATTTTTTATTTCCTCATTTACTTTTAAGTACTCTATCTGAGTTGAGTCAATTGACCATAACCAATCCAAAGAAGCTGTTCTGGTCCATCAGATCAATAATTCCTGAATTAAAGTCTCTGACAAACATGGCCAAGGTAGATTGGACTCTTATGATCATCTGTGGGAAGAATGCACATATAATGCACATAACTTCCTCCCAATAAATAGGTTGTATATAAAACATTTGGTATAGCACAGGTAGATGGAATTCCCAAATGGCCTATGTTAATCAAATGAACCAAACCTGACTGTCCTTTCCACTCCAAATTTAACTCAAAGGTGTGCAAATTTGGAAATCTCAGAGCTTGTAATGAAATTAATTGAAGAAATTTTGGCAAGAGCATATATGTGGATAGTAGTTGTATTCCTTGCTAAGTCATCCAGCTAATCAAATGACTTATTTTTTTTTAATTGTTTGCCTATTTCTGTGTGGATAGTCAAATAACATTAATTTTTATAATAACTTTGCAAATTTATTTTTCATGCTGATGAACACTTTGGTCCTAGTGCTGTTATTTTAAAACTATGCTTATTATATATTTCAGCATCAGCTGGAAATGCATATGAAAATTATACTTGACCCAGAGAACATCAATAATAAAGCTGTTTTAAAACAACACAACTATGAGACCAGGCTACCACTTATAACTAAGAAAAAATCAGCTCCTGTAAGTAACTTGTATTCTCTTATGGGCTTATTATATCCATTACTTTTCACTATTAAAGTTAATTTTAAAAAAACATATATAAGTGAAAGTACCTCATAATTTCATACTTTTTGACATGGATATGTAATGATCAAAACATTTCGAGTGACAGTAATGAGGACAACAAACCTGCATAACAGGTTTAAGTAGCAAGACCCCAATCCATCAAAATTATAAGTAAACATGGGTATGTGCTGGTAAGTAATCTCAGTAAAATCAAGGAGGGAAGAGAAGCAAACTGGAGCTTGGGGAGTTTAGGATGTGACCCAAAGATCAAGGAAGAGTTAAAAGGGGTTTTACAGAAAAGAATGGGCTTTCAGTTGTTCGTTCTATGGCCATTTCTTAAAAAGACAAGAATACGTTTTATTTGCAAATGATAACAGGTTTGTTAGGAATGAGTGAAAAACACTTGTACTTTGTGTTGGGGCTCTTTTTAATCTATTTTTTTTTTTGAAAAAGCAATCCTGCCACATGTTTTCTGACACTGACCAGAAATCAGCATTGCTGAATCAAAAGAATAGAGGTTATACTGAAAGAGAATCAAAATCCTCAAGTGACTGCTTAAATTTAGATGTCATTTATTTCTTGTTTCTCTGACATGGTTTGGGAGGGAATGTTGAGTTCTACTTCTCAGCTCCATGGAAGCACTTACTTGGGAATGTGAGGGACAGATTCAGATCCTTTGTTTCTACATGGAGATATTTCCATGTCCTGTAGATCCCACGTGCCCTCACTGTGACGTACAATATATTTTGAAGCACAGCCTTTCTTTTCTTTTCTAGTCAAGCTATTTCCCTTGGTACAAAATCATGGGAAGTGCTGGGACTGAGCACTTCCACAACACTTCCCTAAGAGTACCCTGACTAGTATCCATCAAATAAGGGTGATTCTATTCTTCCTGATCTGAGAACGTTCAAGTTGTATAAGATTAAGTTTTGATTCTGCCAAATTTGCGTTCTGCAACCGCTGCTCCTCTTAAATAAACAAATGAACACAAAGATGACTTTTTCTGCAAAGTATCCTTTTAAAAAAATTAAATAGGCACAAGCATCCCTCCAAAGATCAATTATGTTCACAAATTTAGCACAGCACTGTGGTCCACATGAAAGAATATACCCGATGGACTCACACAAGGATGCTCGTCTACGGTTTAATTTATGTAATAGAAGCATTATGCAGCAAGCTCAGTGCTGTAAGAGACATTCTGGGGTGTTTGGTTTTAAACAACATCAACAGAATCTGTGAATGGCACAGTTGTAAGCTGCCACTTATAAAAAATTATTTTTGAAAGCTGTTGCCCAGACTAAGAGGTGATTTGTCTAACCCTGTGATAGAGAGTTAATTAGAAAAAAGCATCATGGCTAATAGCTTTTTAGAACCACTCTAAAACACTCACAGAGAGGAATATTATACTACTGCAGAGAGCCATGTGTTTTGCCACTCTCACTGAAACATACTGATCAGAGAAAACTTCTTAATGTCGACTTAAATTACAAACATTTAGTGGAGATTAGTCAGGCTCTCTGATACATATTTACAGTTGCTGAGGAACTGTTTGTGACAGGGAGATGGGCTGAAAAAAAACCAAGTAGGTATTTCTTCTCTCTCATTTATTCCACAGCGTTTACTGAAGTAAATGCTTTTAGAAGTGTTTGAATCCCATGACACAATCTGTCTTTTGAAATGTTTTAGCTTCACTGGGGATAAAATTTTTTGCGATTAAATTTGCAAAATCCTCTATTGATATTGTGAATTAAGGTGTTTTTGTTAAATGTGATCTATATTAGCACTTAAAGGAATTATAGTTATAGTTCACCAATAGTAATTGAAGTAAATCAATGTTTAGTTGCAGGTCTAAAATTATATTGTCTTTAGTTTTGAAACAAATATCAATTAAAATATCTACAGGAATTAAGTGAGGTGCTACCTACCCTGTTTTTACTAATCAGCCATTAGAGGGCAATATTTGTACACACACATATGGGGACACACACACACACACCCCCCCCATGTACATGCCCTACATATGTACCTAAGTTCAAAGATTATCTTCCCCAAAAAAATCAGTGGCAGAAGGACTCTCATTGAAGTAAATTAAAAACTGATTGCTTGCTTAACTACATTCAAGTGTTTTTTTAAAAAAAATACTGTCAGCATCTGAGTTTTCAAGGAGACCTGAGCATTTGAAAATGTGATGAGATTAAAAACACACCGGTTTTGGGGTGACTAGAGAGGTCAGGCACAAATCTACACGGACTTTTTATTATCCTGCCATTTGAGTAGTTTGAAAAATTATTAGTAAGGTTCTCATTGTTTCCTGAAAAATGTCTTTTCTTGCTCTTTTGGTATTGTAAAGTTGCTGACGCTGGATTTTATGACAAGAAACTAAGAACAATTAACTGTTGCCCTTTTGTACCTTTTTGGGTCTGATTACCACTCATGCTTCATCCTCTGTGAAGTTCTGTAGTTCTCTTCAAGCGAGGACTGGAATTCTGCTTGAAACATCATGGGCAGAGTGGGCATTGCTTTATTTTTGTAGCCTCTATCTGGATAACACATGAAAAATGATGAGTAGATAATTATTAAATATGTATACTTCCCATGGAGTATCTAACAAAACCAATAGTAACGTGAATTGCAGCAAAAATAATTCTAATAAACTGCTGCAATGTGGGAAAGATCCACAACTCCACCTTTCATTTTCATGCAGCTGCTGTTCTTTTATAGAATTATACCAGCACTTTTTGGTCTTTGTTTCCTTATGAATGTATATTATACTGTAAATTTAGGAACCTTTTAATTTATTAATGAGGTAGAATTTAATATGGTGGTGATTTCTAGCTTTTATGAGTTGCATCTTATATAGTGTGGCTTTAATGGTGGTGGCAGTGATTCTGTGTTGTGGTGGGGTTTTGTTTTTGGTTTGATTTGTTTTTTTTAAGCTAACATATTTGAGCACAACCATTCTCATCATATCCTCAGTTATTTGTTCTTTATTTAATATTTGTATCATGCTAATCACTAATTCTGGAAGTCTATTAATTTCTAAAATTAGAAAGTAGTAAAGCAGGGTAATTATTTTCATTTCAGACGAGTAGAAAAAGTTGTAGAAGAAAAACAGGTCTTTTGGTCCTCAAAACCTGATTGTGTTTTAAAACTTATGCATATGGCTATAATTACAGTGAAAGCATAATTTGGCAGTGGTAGCAGAATGAGACTTAAACAAATCGATGTTACACTACAGTAATCCAAAATAAGCTTATTGCATTTATATTATGGTATGTAATCATAATAACCAGCACAGTGAATTAATAAAATCTTCTTGTCACTAAAAATAAAAAGGAAATAATTGGTGAGATAGAGTCGACTTAACAGATGACTATAGTCAGCATCCTTTCAACCTAGAAATGGGAATGTGAAGGTCACCCCCATCTCAGATGACAAACGTAGAACATTTTGTTGGTAAACAAATTAATCTTTTGAAAGGTCACCATTTGTTTGAAGTTTTTATCCAGTTCTTGTCATCTGGAATTGGAGATTGACTGTCATTTTGCTAGGTAGGGGTGCAGCCGGAGCTGCTGAAGCTGTTTCTGTACGTATCAGCATTCCTTGACAAAACTCGGTGCCTGATTGTGATGCTATGGGCTGCTGGTTTACAGCTGTCTCCGGACAAGAATGGAGGCCCACCCCTGAATTCCAATAAGTTCCTCCTGCATATTCTGCCTCGTGTAAGCTGGCCCTTTGCCCACAAGTAATATGTATCGTAGTTCAAGCCAGCAATTATCTTTCTTACTTCCTTCTGTGCTGCTTCTGTCGCCTTTTTCAAAAAGCAGATGTGGGATTCACCAGAGTTCTCCATCTATTCTTTCTTGCACCTGTTATGGCAGGATTTTGATAGAGGTGAATTTCTGGGAGAGCTAGTACTACACCATCAAAGGAACAAAGCTTTTTTTCCAAGTATAGGTAAAATTGACAGTTCAGAGCCACCTCTGGTTACTTTAAGAGCTTAAAGTAGGTAAGAATAACATGAGACCATTGTTGAAGGTGCCTCGTTGCTCCATGTTGAAGGTTTTATGTTGGGCTTTCTATTTAAATTGGACTTTATTTTCTGTAGACAAACAAAACCTGAGGGAAATAAGATGTATGAATGTCTTAGTATCACATCTAAGCAAAACTGTATCAATCACAGGCTAGATAAAAGGCTGGACTATGTAAATTGGAATGAAAAGGACAAATTTTAGCTTTGTATACCATTTTCCTACTCAGAAATCTTCTTAAATAAAAAGACAACTAGTCATAAAAATTGTTGATATTTTAAATCTCTTACAGAGACTGTTACAAATTCCACTCCTCTGACTTTAGAATAGTTCTACTGACAGTGGTGAGAATTTGTCCTTTCCTTAGCGTTCAGTCCTGCACTGAATTCCACATGCTGGTTCTTAGGCTCAGAGGACCAAAATTAGGTTATTTGAAACTGGAGTTAAACATTTCCTTTATGTACTATTTTTTACTAAGATTATTTGCCTTAATTGTCAGAATGAATTTTTTTTTCCCCAATAGAAACTGATAGACAATGGAAATGTGAGTGAAACTATTCTTTGATGCTGTTTCCTTGCTTTGCTGCTTGGCATGTAAATCAACACAGAAAACACATCATTTTAGACTGTAAGGCCATAAATCTTTAAAATGCAATGAAATCCTACAGCAGTTCTTATCTAAACAAAACCAAAGCTGACCTGATCTAATGTGGGTAGTAGATTTGAGATTGGGCTTGTTGGTTAGCCCTTCTAACCAACATTTCTGTTGCCTACAAGAAAGCTGGGGAGGGACTTTTCATAAGGGCTACTAATGACAAGACAAGGGGAAATGGGTTTAAACTGAAAGAGGGGAGGTTTAGATGAGATATTAGGAAGAAGTTCTTTACTGTAAGGGTGGTCAGACACTGGAACAGGTTGCCCAAG